CTCGCGGTGAATGGTTGGCATAACTAATTATCTTTTTTCTTTTAAAATAAAACTTTAAAATATTAACTATTTAGGATTTTTAGAAATTTCTTTTCAGTTTTTTAGACGTCAGTAAATCAAAATTAGACTAGGAAAGTAAAAATAGATTATGGTAGAAGCTGGAGAATATTTAGACCGTTATTATCCGAAATCGGTAAGGAGAACAGCATGGGAACTGAATCTTAGCAATAAAGATTTGGAAGGTGTTTTGGATTTAACTGATTTTACCAACTTACGAAAATTAGATTTTTCTCACAATCCCAAATTGGATGCGGTTTGGTTGTCAGAGGATAGTCTCAAGACTATTGAAGAATATAATATTTCTGCCAGTGGTGCGAAGGGTAAATGATGATTAAATGATTTTTCTAAAATCAAGAAGTTTGATTGCTCTAATAATAAGATAACTAAAATTGATGCTTCCAAAGCTTTAGAGTTGACTTATTTAAACGTTAGTAATAATCTTCTTTCCGAATTGGAGTTACCAGTTGACAGTAGAAAACTAGAGATATTGGATTGTTCTAAAAATCCCGATTTAACTACTTTAGCTTTTAACCCCTCTCTTAATCCAAAGTTTTTTAGTTGTTTAGATTTAGTGTTTGATGAAAGACCCTTGTTAGCAAGTAATAATGCTCTCGCTATAGGTTTAGCTGTTCCTTTAGTTATAAGTATTCTTGGTTGGCTAGTTTTAGGTTGATTTTTTTGTTACAATAAGCACAAATTAAAAAAAAGAGTTAAGTTGCAAAGTTCACGAGACCAAGCAGAAGAAGTTTTATTGACCGATTTTAGTTAAAATTTCGTTTTTTAAACAACTTGTTGTTTTTGGGAAGTTTTTTGATTGAAAAATTTCACTAATTTTAGATTGTAAAACCGTTTTTTGACCGTTATAATAATACATTATGACAATGGAGCCTACGAAAACTTATAAGTTGGTGAAAAGAGACTACACTACTTGTATTGGTGGAAAGAATATTTATGGATCGCTCGATACTGTTTGTGCAACTTTTACACCTAGCACGGTTACAGTTCCGGGCAGTACAATTACCAGTACGGTTGCCGTTGCTGCTAGTGTTAATAATTCTAGCCTTGCTTTAGCAGTTGGTCTTCCGCTCGCAGCACTTTCGATGATTGTGGGAGTGGCTATTGTTTATCTTATTCGTAAAAGATCTAGAAAACTTTCAACACCAGTGACAACAACCAGTGTAGCAAATAATAATACTACTAACACGGTTGCTGAACAAACTCAGATTCCTACTCAATCAACTGAAATAACAAAAACATCATTAGACTTAGGAATGCCTGCTTCCTATGAAATTGCTCCTATCCCCGAAGCCCGAGTTCGTGAAAGTTTGAATCAGAATGAAGCGGAGGCAAACTTAGAAAGAGAAATTGCTCTTTTAGAAAAACGTAAAAAATTAGTTGAATTGCGGAAGCAAGTAAAGGAATTGGAAGAAAGTGAGAAGTAGTTCCCGTTAGTAAGTTTCTGGACTGTTGGTTTTTACAGTTCTCTGTGTTTTTAGTTAATTTTTTGAGTTGAAAATGAAACTGAATACTAATTGAGTCAGAGAAATATTGACATCTTTTGCTAAGCAAAAAAAAATAAATCAAAAAAATGTATCCCGACACCTTTCAAGAAAAAGAGAAAAAATCTATCGAATGGCTTAATATTTTCTTAAAATTCTTATCTGGTTTTATAGGAAGTCTGATTGGTACTTTCACTACTTTTTTCTTGCTTTTGGCTTTGGTTGGAAAATCTTCAGAAAAATTCTTAGAAGCACAAGAAAAAAACTTACTTTCCAACTTTGATGGTGGAAAGTTTGAGTACCCGACTGAGTCTGAAAAAAATAATGAGTGATTAAAAGAAAAAGTTTTTCAAGAAAAAGTGAGAAAAGAATTAAAATTACGGATTAATTGCTTCAAATTTCTTTCTAACCTACAAGTGGGAGAGAGAGTAGTAAGTAACCATATGCTTTTCTGTGGACCACCCGGTACTGGCAAAAGTTATTTAGCGAAAGAATTAGCCAAAAATGAGTCATTAGCCTACGGATTTTTTTCTTTGGGAAATGAAATTTTTCGCGGTTCCAGCCAAAAGAAGATAGATAGCATTTTGCAGGGGGCAAGAAAGATAGATAGAGAGAGAGAGAGAGCAGAAAATCAGAGAGTAAACAAACCAGTAATGATTATTTTAGATGAAATTGATTCAGTAGGAATTAAATCTTTTTCGGAACATGATTCACGAAATGAAGAAACTAATGGAATTTTGACTATGATTGATAAAATAGAAAGAGAGAAATTAGATATCATAGTAATTGGTATCACCAATTATCCAGAAAAATTAGAACCAGCTTTAGTTAGATCCGGTCGTTTAAGCAATAAAATTGAGTTTTCTTTTCCCACCGAAGAGGAAGTAGGAGCAATGGTAGATTATTTGCGACAAATATCAGAAAAAAGTTACAAATCTGACAGAGTGCAGTGGTCCGAGCGGTTTTGGCAAGAAGTTAAGGAAATTACTGTTGAATTAGCGAAAGAAAAAGTGAGTCTAGTTTTGGTAGATTTGCAACAAATTATTGGTCTTATCTTGGCTCAAGCATGCCAAGAAAATTCCAGTATAGTTAAACCCCAGAGTGAAGATTACCGAACTATTTTAGAGAAAAAAGTTCAGGAGAAAACTAGAAAAAATGAAGCGAATGAGCAGATTTCAAAACTTTTCAAATCTTTTGTTAGTTCTGTGCCTCTCTCTGAAAGAACTCCCGATAATTAAGTTTTCTTATTCGGTTTCTTTGGAGTTTTTCTTTACTTTTTTATTCTCCTATATTTGGTATTCACTACTAAGAATTATTAGGCAAATATAATCAAGTAATAAGTAAAGGATAGTTTAAAGAAAAAAATATGAATTTCGTGTATACAATTAAAACATTATATTATGAAAGTTCAATCTCAAAGAAGGCAAAACCTAACAGTGATTATCGAACCTCTAACTTTTCAGCGTTTAAAGAAAGAGGTAGGAGAAGGGAAAATTAGCCGTTTTGTAGAAAAAGCCATTATAAAGGAGTTAGACGACTACAACAGAAATATTGAGGAAAAACAAAAAGAATTTCAAAAGAAATTAATCGCTGATTATAAAAGGGACGCCGACAGCAAGACACTCCGGAAAGAGGACGAAATTTGAGACGAAGTAGTAGGAGAAGGAATAGAATAATATGAGTGAGAAAATGCCTAAGCAAGGTGAGATATGATTAGTTGACTTCAACCGCCAAAGAGAAAAAGAGCAAAACAAAATCCGTCCAGTTCTAATATTAAGTAATAATTGGCAAAATCAGTATAGCAGATACACAGTGGTTTCTCCTCTAACTAGTGAGGAAAAGGAATTAGAAAATATTGCTTCTTTTGAGGTGCTAATTGAGGCAGACGAGAGGAATGGACTAGACCGAAAAAGTAAAATCCTCCTTCACCGTTTACGGGCTATTGATAAAGAATTACGTTTAATTGATAAAAAGGGACAAGTAGATAGTAAAATATGGTCTCAGGTTTGAAAGGCTTTGTGAGTAGTGTTTACGGGTAAAAATCTTGATTAATTTAGAGTTTTGATTTCTAAACATTTTACTCGGAATAATTTTTATTAAAGTTAGAAAAATTTTCTTATAAATTTTAACACTAATTAGCAATTTCTAATTACCTAGTAATTATTACCCCTCGAATTCTCCCAAAAAAAACGTTTTCTTTTCAGAAAAACCACAAAAACTAAAATACTATGAATAATCTTTTATCTTGGATAGTTAGTAATAAATTACTATTAGGAATGGTGATTTCCTTTACTTTTACTGTAGCATGGAGTATAATTGTTTGAGTGACAATAAACAAACTCGACAATAAATCTTACTGTTCTTTTTCTTCCTCTAATAATCACCCTTCTTCCCCTATCAACATTGAAGATAACTGATGTTATGATGATCTTAAGTATATTGCTCTAGGTATGTGACTTTCCATCACTATTTTGGGTTCCCTTGCCTTTTTCGGCACTTCTGGTTGCTATATCAGAAATTTTATCAGAGGCAAACAAAAAACTCAAGCCTTAGAATTTGATACTAGTGCTGTGGAATTAGCGGCAGTAGGCAGTGTAATTCATCCAATACAAAATAAACTAACTGAAGAAGATTTAGATAAAGAAATTTCCCTTTTTGAAAAACGCAAAAAACTAGCCCAATTAAAAAATGAAGCGATAAATTTAGAAACAGTTGGGGTAAGGGCTTCTACTAGTGAAAATTTAGGGCAAGTAATTTCGGTAGATAGAGGTTATTAATTCTCCTCTAATGTCTTAATCTTTCCTTGGAAAAATTATTTGTTCAATTTGAGCCTCCGTTTTTTCTTCTTGAACTTGCTCTAAAATTTTTAGTTGTTTTTCTAAGTGAGTGAATTCAGCCTGCTTCTCCAAAAGATTTTTTACCTCTTTTTTGTTAAGTTTAGTTTGTAAAATTGTTTGGTAAGCAGTTAACTGTCCTTTTAGTTGGGCTTGAGTTAAGGCATCATTTTCTTCCTTTTCACTTTCACTAATTTGTTTTTGGGTTTGTAAGCAAAGTTCTAAAAACATTTCTAAATTTTCACCCACCTTGTTTTTGGTAGAGTCTATTAGTTGATCAAGGTTGTCTCTTTGTTCTTGAAAATAAGGAATAAAATCTTTTAATTTGAGCCGTTGAACTTCTCGCTTTAAATTATCGAAATTAAGTTCAGTGGTTGGCAAAGCAATATTATTTAATTCTTGAAATTGACGAAGAGTGGGAGTTTGTTCCGTTTCTTTTTTTAACTGTTCTAGTTTTCTATCTTCAATTAAAGAAATTGGGATTATTGTTTGTTTTTTTAGGGGTTCGTTTTTTTCTATTCAATTCCCCATTTCACTTCTATAATAATAGCGTATAACTAATTGATTAAGTTGTTTTTCTTTGGCAAAAAAAGCACAATTAGAATCTTTTAAGGTGTTGTTTTGGTTATTTTGACCTATTATTATCCTACTTAAATTTGTATTTTCACTAATATCGATGTTTTCAAGTGAATTGACGCGAAGATTGTAAGCAAAAGTAATTTTCCGCAGATTAGGAAATTGAGCCAAATTTAAATTGCCCTTTAATAGTTCCGTATTTCGATTATCATGATCGTAAATGTTAAGTGTTGTTTCGCCTGAGAAATTAGGCTGATTATTACCATACTGAAAACTTATGTTCTTTGTTTGGTTTTTTGCATTTTTGTCTAGTTTATTTAATGTTTCTTGTATTGTCATGGTGGTTTTTTTTGTAATTTGTTAATGTAAGTAATTATTGATTTAATTTTAAAATTAAAATCACTCCTTTCCATTTTTAAAATGTTAAAATTATTTACTAATTATGACTAAGCTACAAGAAATCAATAGTGATGACCTTTTACGAGAAATAAAAAAACGTATTGAACGACCAACATTTCAAGAAAAAGTAGAAGCCAAAATAACTGATCTGAAAATTGATAAAGAAAAATTAACCGCTCAATTGAACGACGGCCGGGAAGTAAGCATCTCCATTTCTTTATTAACTAAACTGGAAATACTAAGCTCGGACATAAAACCCGAACAATTAGAAAAATACGAGTTATGAGGAGAGGGTAGTGCTGTTTTTTTCCCTGATGCTGACGAAACGTTGCCAACTTGAATTATCGCTCGTGGTCTGAATTCTTGCTAAAATCTAATGAGCCAAATTTTCTCTCATAAAGACCCACGAAAAAAATGAGGCGGTTATCGTTCTCACTTTTATTCTCATGAATACCGAACAATCGGAACTAAACCTCGGGGATTACTTCATATTCATTTCCTAGAACCCAATGGGGAAATAAAGATTTATTTACTATCGCCTAAATACCTAGAAATAGAAAAAAAAATGAGGAAACGTTTCCGACCAGGAAAAAGCCGAAATAAAAGAGTTTGTTCAAACTAATTACCAGGATATTATAAAAGCAATAGAAAAGAATATTACTCCTCTTTTTCCAGATTGAAAAATTTCTTAAAAAATTTAATGTCAACTATAAAAAACTAATTATTCTATAATTACTGCTTTTCAAATTCCTTTTTCCTTTCCAAAATAACGTTTTTTCTGAAAAAATCCTGCCTAAAATCGGGCTTGGAAAGTTAAGTATAATGAACTTTATAATCAATTACCTACTACTATAGAAAAAAAGAGATTATGGAGAGAAAAAAATAATTAAACTCTATGCCAGTGATTCACCGCGAAGCAGGTTTAGTATTTCGGTTTTTTTCTAATGAAAATAATGAACCCGCTCATATTCACGTTTAAGGGCAAAAAGGTGGGATGAAAGTCTGGTTAAATTCCCTAGAAATAGCCAAAATTCGAAAGTTGCCTGCTAACGATCAACGGCGAGCTATGGAGATAATAAAAATTAACCAAGTAAAATTTTTATATGAATGAAAAAAATTTAAGGAACGCGAACAGAACGGATAAAAAAATTCCACTAATTAGTTCGGAATTTCTACGGGAAAAAGAATACCCCGAAATTTTAACTTTGGAATGTAAAAATCAGCAACTAACTGCTACTTTATCCGATGGTCGTATAGTTAGTATCCCAACGGTTTGGTTTAAAAGATTACGGGAAGCAACTAACGAACAATTAACTAGCTTTGAAATCTTGCCTGATGGTTATGGTATTCATTGACCCGAACTAGGTGAGGATATTAGTGTCAAGGCTTTTGTGGAAGGGTTGAATTAGTAGTTAAAATTTTTTGCTTTGGAGAATTTAATTAAAAAACATGTATATACCCCTTAATATGAAAAGTATGAAAATTCTTTTCAATTTTATTTTCTTACTTTCTTTTTTAGTTTCGCTCGCTAGTTCTTATGGTAGTTTACCGATGGGAAGTAATGCCTCTGCTCCTAAGTTACAGGCTCGTGAACTTCCTGCTCCGCTAGTTCTTTTTGGTGGTCTTAATGCTTTTTTTAAAAGAAGAACAGACTCCAAAAGATCTAGAATGTGTACTATTGGCTTCGCCGTAAAAAGGATGGGGAATCACAGGAATTTCAAGCGAGGATATTTAACCAACGCAGCTTGTGCTGAAGATATTAGGGGAAATAGTTTTTCTATTCATAATGCTTTTGTTAATAGACCTGATGACCGAGGAGAATTGGAATCAGTTAAAATAGGAATTTTTGATGATGCGATTTATGATCCGAATCGGGGTTCAGACTATGCTATTGTAAGGGTAGATCCTGAGTTTTGAGATGATGAATTAAGCACTACTATTATTATTGGTGTTAAGCCTTACTCGGTTATAAATGTGGTTGGTCCTGCTAGTGCAGCGAAAGGACATAGGGTTTGTTTTTTTTCCGAGTTTTCAGGTGAGTTCTCGGGTATTATTTGTGGAAAAGTTGAAGATGACAATTATAGGGTAGCAACAATGGATCCTTGAGGAAGAAGAATGAGGATAGGTGGTATTGAAGTGGGATTTGCGATGGTAAGCTATTTTAACAGCATGGTTAAGGTTAGAATGGAAGCAACTCCTTATTCGCAAGCTAATCCTCAGTTTGATGGAATTGATGGTGGTACTCCGGTTTTTCTTCCTGTTTCTCGTGACAGAAGGCTAGTGGCGGCACAGCCAGTTGGTATCTTGCATTCTTACGAGTTTTTAAATAATCATCCTTATATGATTTATCAACCAATAGATAGAATTGTTAAGAGGGCTGAAATAGAGTTGTATAGAACACCCGACAACGACTAATTATGAAAAAAATATTTAACTTGTTTTTATTAACTTCTTTTTGCTCAATAAAATTAGTGTCTTCATTAAATTTGATTAATGATTCTCTGGTTGTTAATTCTACTAACATGTTTGGCTGGGTAATAGGAGAGAATTTTACAGAAACTGCTACCAAAACCGACCCTCTAGTTAAGCGAGAAGCAACTTACCCTTGTGCTGGCTACCCTGTTGTTGGAATTTCATTTGGCGAGGGAAATCAGCCCTATGAAGTTTCTTGTTCACTTTCTTTTCCAGTGGTGGATAAAAATGGAAAAAGAGGATTTTTAATATCTTTTATTTGTGCTGGTAGTAGTGTTTTTTTGGGAGAAAAGCAAAATCAAAAAATACAAAAATAAATTACACTAAAAATATAATGTTTCAATCATCTTATGAGTAAAACTAAACAGTCACAAATTAATACAAACATCAACATTCAACATAATAAAACTAGAGAGAGAGAGAGAGAGAGAGAAATAATCAGAATTTATCGGCAAGAAGTTAAACAAGCCAAGGAAAACTCTTCGATCGATGAAGTAGTAACTTATCAAAAACTTATTCTTGGCCTATGTGAAGTCCAACAAAAAAAAATACTAAAATATCATGATTCTCGCAATGAAGATCTTGCTTACTTAGAAGAGCAGTGGTTTCTCTGGCAAGCAGCAAAATGTGACTTTTGTCGATTGAGCACTAGCATTAAAAACACCATTACTGAAATCAAAAGCAAGCGTGGCTTAGGGACTTTATTTGGAATGCTAAATAGCCGAGAAGAATCTTTCCTTGGAGAACTAGAAATGTTATCTAAAAAAGTAGATAATTTCCTTAACGAAATCAACAAAGAAAAATTTGGAAGTAATTTAACCTTTCACTTGACAAAAAAAAGTCAAGAACAAGCCGAGAATGAGATAAAAACCCTAGTTGATAGTTTGAAACTAGAAAAAGAGTTAGAAAAAACTCTCGATTGAGAGTTGAAGATTAGCAAAACCCGCTGAAAACAATGACAAGAAATTTCTTTGACCAAGAAAAAAATATTGATGGAAATCACTGAGAAAAAATTTTTTACTTGAGTGACTTACAGCGAAGGCAATCCCCAAAAACTATTTAATTTTCTGGAAATTTTACCCTGAAAAATACGGTGAGAACTCTACCAAAAACAAAATCCTAACGGGGTTTTGTATAAAGAACTAATTGATAACAAACTTACCCGGCAGCAATCAGTAGAACTTTTGCTCTTTGATGAAAGAAAAGTCAAAACTATTCAAAAATTCATTCGTAATCACTGAAAAAATACAAACTACAAACATTTATACCAAGAACTTAAAAACGAGACTCTTTCCCAAGCAAAAGAACTTTCTGATTTACAAACTAAATTCAATGAAATTAGTGAAATCAAGACTGAAAAGGAAAAACCAGCAACTAATCATTGGCCTTGAATATGAGGAACAGCACTATTAGTAATTGAAGTGTTTTTCTATATTTTAATAAAGAAAAAAAATAAATTTAAAAGCCGCAAAACTCAAGTCCAAATTATTACCTAAACCCCTACCTCTCTCAGAGCCTGAAACACTTCCTCAGTTTTACTTTCTACTCCTAACTGAATTAGAGCTTTTACTAAGCGGCTGGCACTGATTTTGCGACTGCTTTGCAGGTTTAGTTTTTCGAGTAGACTGGTGAGATTATGCCAACTAGCATCATCCAAACGAAAAGTTCGCACTCGCGAGTAAGCAGTGCGAGTGATTTGTACTACCTTTTCCGCTGGGATGCGTTCTATATTTAGTTTGCTTTTTTGGGCTCGCTCTTGCAATTTTTTAGCCATAGGTTTTAGTTTTGTATTACAATTGTATTACTTTTGTATTATATAGGAGAATAGGAGAAATTATTTCAGTGCCTACATTCATTACTTACATAAAAATATCATATTATGACTGGTCGAAATATGAATGTCTACTTTCGAGAGGAAACTTACAGTAAAATAAAGAGTTTAATTTCTAGTAGAGAAATTAGTCGTTTTATTAATGAAGCGGTCGAGGAAAAATTGCAGCAAAAGCAACAGCAACAAAAAGAAGAATTAAGTCAAAAATTAATCAAAGGTTATCAAATTCGAACTAAGAGCAAAAAAATACAAGAAATGCTCCAAAATTATGGAGAAATTTCCTGAGAAGATTTATCGTCTGAACTAAATAAGCGGGAGAAAAAAAATGAAAGGTAGAATAAATGACTTGCCAATTTTTCCCCGCTACGGGGAAATTTGATTATTAAAGAACCCCGAGCGAATCAAAGAGTTGAGCAAAGATTATCGTCCGGTGCTAATAATTAGCCGTAATGAGCGAAATGAGTACGATAGTTCGATAGTGGTTTTACCGCTAACTACTGATGAATTTGATAATATTCTACCAGTGGAAGTTTTTATCAAAAATACTAAAGAAAATGGTCTAGATGAACCAAGTAAAATTCTCTGTGACTCTCCTTTTACTTGGGATAAGGGAATACGTTTTAAAGAAAAGTTGGGAGTGGTTAGTAAAGAAGTAATGCAAAAAGTTAAAGCAGCTTGAGGTATTGCTTTTGATTGAGAATAGTTCGATTCGTTGATTAATTGAACTTCCTAAATAACATGTATTACAAATGTAATACAAAAGTATTACAAACAAAAACAAGTTATAAGTAACACAATTGTATTACAAATGTATTATAATTAAAATTAAATTAAAAGTATGAAAACCATTGCTATAATCAATCAAAAAGGAGGAGTCGGTAAATCCACCGTAACTGTTAACCTAGCCTACGAACTGGCTCAAAAGAAAAAAGTTCTCCTCATTGACTTAGATCCCCAAGCCCACAGTTGCCAAATTTTCTGTGCCGCAAATTCTGAACAGCCTAATATCAAAGATTTATTCTTAAACACTCGTTTGGATATCAAAGAAACTATTCAGCACGCTCAAATCAAAGATCGTAAACTAAGCAAGTTAGATATCATTCCTAGCACTATTCACTTAGCCCGAGCGACCGAACGAATTACTACTATTTACCGGGAGAAAATTTTGGCTAATCATTTAAGTAGAATAGTGACTGATTATGATTACTGCTTACTAGATTGCCCACCTAACTTAGGAGTAATTACTATTAACGCTCTGTATGTCGCCAATATCTTACTAATTCCCCTCTTAGCGGACAAAGGAGCCTTAGATGGCATGGCCGATTTATTAGAAACCGTGCAAGAGGTAAAAGAAAAAAAACCTTTCCAATACTTTATTCTCCGTAACAGTTTAGACCTACGCACTAAGCAAACTAATTCTTACCTAGCAGGAGAACTAACTACTTACCAAGATCACTTACTAAAAACAGTTATTAGCAAAGCGGAAATAATAAACCAAGCTCGCATAGTAAACGAACCCATACAAATATTTGCTCCCAAAAGCAAAGCGGTAAAAGAATACCGCCAGCTAGTAACCGAACTCACTAAAATATAAAGTGTAATACAATTGTAATACAAAACTAAAACCTATGGCTAAAAAATTGCAAGAGCGAGCCCAAAAAAGCAAACTAAATATAGAACGCATCCCAGCGGAAAAGGTAGTACAAATCACTCGCACTGCTTACTCGCGAGTGCGAACTTTTCGTTTGGATGATGCTAGTTGGCATAATCTCACCAGTCTACTCGAAAAACTAAACCTGCAAAGCAGTCGCAAAATCAGTGCCAGCCGCTTAGTAAAAGCTCTAATTCAGTTAGGAGTAGAAAGTAAAACTGAGGAAGTGTTTCAGGCTCTGAGAGAGGTAGGGGTTTAGCGACTTTTTTGTTGGTTAGCTCCCTTCTACTATCGAAAAAAAACGCCAGTGGGCGAGGGAGAATGGGGGAAGGTAGAAAAAAAGAAATAATTAGCCTTTAACCCTTTAATCATTAAAAAAAACAAAAAAAAAGGGATTAAAAATAGTCAAAATCTAACAAATTCTTATATCCCTTATCATTCTCAGCAATAGTAAAAGTGTATTCCTTGCCCTCGGTCAAATCTATTCACCTATGCTCTGGCACTTGCGAAGCAAAGACAAAAACCCCGTCTAAATGTTCCAATTTCAAAACTAAATAACTGCGTAAATTCTTATCGGTCAATTCTTTTACTTCTAAAATCCGTGTTTTTATTTCTTGCTGATTTATTCATTTCGAATCTAGGTTGTTACTCATAAAAAATAATTATGCTAAATTTAACTTTAAACTTGCCTAAAACCTTAGAAAGTCAGTTAGAATATTTTTCTGCTGTTAATAAGCGTCCTATCGAGTTTTATGTGACCGAAGCTTTATTAGAATACTTGGAAAAAATTGCGGACTTTCGTATTGCTCTGGAAAGAATAAATGCTAAGAATAAATCTTATTACACTACCGAAGAACTTTTAAAAAGTTTAGAGCCAAAAAATGTATAAGGTTGTTTGGGAAAAGCGGGCTCAAAAAGACCTAAAAAAGATAGATTTTATTCTAGTTAAAAAGATTGTCGAAAAAGTAGAAACTTATTAGCCCAAGATCCGGTTAATATTGGTGAACCTTTGCGACACGACTATAAAGGACTTTTTCGTTTTCGTTTTGAGGATTACCGCGTTATTTATCAAATCGAACATCAGCAAATTTTGATAATTGTGATCGAAGTGGGTCATCGTCGAGAAATTTATCGCAAAAGATAGTTTTTTCTTTGCGGACTAAGTTGTTAATCAAAAGAATTGGTCTAACAGTAAAATTTTTCTTCATTTTTTTACTAATTGCTAGTTTCTGATTATTTATAATCACTCACCACAAATCATCTCATAAATAACGGTTTATTTTTAAAAAAACCGTAAAAGTTTAAATGTTATGATTGGACGCTGATGATTATTGTTTATAACCTCGATTTGTCTTTCAACTAGTGGTTTGATAGTTATCATTACTTCTTATCGTTCAGTTGGTTCAACTTGTTATCTGAAAAATTTAGGGGGGTGTACCGAAACGTTCGAAACGTTATATAAATGCAGTAGTTCTAGCGGTATAGCGTTTGTTTATTCTCTTCCTTGTCCTTATCCCTATTCTTACAATGGTGACGTTGTTCGTTATATGACAAGTGACACCTCAAATCCAAATTGCAATATCCAAAACTGTTACAATCGAAATTTTATTCAAGTATTAACTGGGATAATAATAACATCTTTCGCTAGTTTGTTTGCCGTTTTAAGTTCTTGTGTTCTCTCCATTAACTCCTTAAACATTCCAATTCCACGGCTTTCTTTAGAATGAAGGAGACCGGAAACGAATGTGGCAAACCAAGTAATGGCAGCAACGGTTCCAGCAAGTTCTGCAAATATTGAAACAATTTATTCGGATACTTTAGAATCAGGACAGAAATAAAAGAAGTTTATCCCTCCCCTAATCCCTAAACCTCCCTTCTTTCCAATACCGATTAAACTCTTTCCTCCGCGGTGCGGGCATGGCCCCTTTTCTAGTTTCTAAACACTCCCCGCACAAAATTTTCTCACTTACTTCTAACCCTCAAAAAACGGGATTGTGGCGATTCTTGGCTCTGCCATGCCTTCCCGCTCCTTTTAGCTCTCGCGAACAGTTCCCACAAAGAAAAATTTCCAACTTCTTTTTGCGAAAACCCACCGGACGCACTGCCCCTCACTCTTTCTCAAATTGCCTTTCCTCCAATTTCACCCCCGCTCTTATTTTCTCTTGCCTTTCACTAACTTTTTGCCCTGCTCGCTCTATTTCTTGGCTCGCTTCTTGCTCCTGCAAAAATCTCTCCTTAAATTCACTGGCTCACTCCTGGCGAGCCTCCTCCTCTAACCAGTCCGCAAATTTCTCACACTCAAACTCACCCTTGGCATTTTCCCAAGTTAAATCAAACTCAATTTCGCCCTGTTCGTCGATATCGAAACTATGCCACCGCCCACACCCCCCAAATTTCCGCGAGCAATTTATCGCCCCACTGATGAAAATGTTTTCAGGGATGTCTCAATTGAAAATCCCTAACTTTTCCTTTGCCATATTTTTGAACTAACGAAATGCTATCTTTCGCATACGTGTATAATCCCCTTTTTTCCAATAAACTTATTTTAAATATACCTTGGTCTGTCTTGGAGACCAATATATTTACATGAAAGATATTATATAAGTATTTTACCCTTACTAACCCTGTTTTATTCCCCCTATTGTCCCCCAGATAAATTATAAATCCCCCCAGACCCCCGGGCGAATTTTTTGGAGTTTAGTTTTGATTACAAAACTTCACTTTTTACTTAGGAGAAACTAGAATCTGATTTTGAAGTTGCTCTTCTAACCTTTCTAACTTTCTTTTCATTTGTTCCTCACGAAACCAGGCAAGTTGTTTCTGAATTCCACGAAGATTGCGAGACTGTTCTGAATTTAATTCTTTACCAAGACTTTCTTCTAAATTATCAATTGTTCTTTGCTGATTTTTTAGGTAAATACTTAGATTGTCATCATCGACATTAAAATTTTCTTGTTCTTGAATTAAGGAATCTAACAAAGAATTAACGTAATTATTCAAACTAGTCCTTAGTGATTCATTGGTTTCTTGCAAATCTTTTTTTTCTCTTTCTAAGGTTGAAATTTTGTCATTTAAAACCAAAATCTGACCCTTTAACTCCTCTAAACGTTGGTTAACTTTCATTTGAGCAGAAAATTGACTACCTTCAGAAAAAGAATCAACATTTGGGCTCTGAATAAAAGTTGATATAATTTCCTCTTGATTAATTTCTAGTTGACCTTGATAAGATCGAACAGGTCGACCTAACGAATAGGTACGTAAAAGGGGAGTGAGGGTTGAAGTAGCATTAGTTATCTCCGAATGAATAGAGGAAGATTCTTCACTTTGAGTCTCTTGAATTTCTTTTTCTTCTTTTTCTTTTTTTCAAATTTGTAAGTCATAATACTCTTTTCCTTTCCTATTTCTTTTCAGACAAGCTTTTAATTGTTTCTGAATCTGTCCTCACTCAGTCTCAGCAACACCATCTAACTGCAGTTTACTCAACTGATTATTAGAAAAACAAATTTCAATTAGACTTGGACAATTTAATATACTCAATTCAGTTAGCAAATTATCAGAACAGTGAACCACTTCTAACTTAGGACAGTTATTAATTGTCAATTTTGTTATTTCATTATGAGAACAGTTGATTTTTTTTAATTCAGTATAGTTCTCTACTTTCAAATCACCTTTTAAAATTCTTAGAAAAGGGGTTGAAATTTCTGTAACTTTGCTTTTATTAGGATATTCCTTTTCTAATCACTGTTGTGCGTTTACCATTTTTTATTATAGGTTAAAAATTCTCTTAAATCAAAAAACAGAAATAAAACGAAGAGAAACTATACCAATCAAAACAAGAGAACT